GGTGACTAGGGAACGCTTACCGGCTAGGCCACAAGGACACTAAAAGCAGTTCTAGACTCTGTTATATTTCACACAAAGCCTGTTCATCGAGCTGATGGCGCCGTGAACCTCATTGGGAAACTGCCCGTGCCTCTTATGTGGTGTCAGTAGCATTTTACCGAATCCAGCTGGTATGAAACGCGAGGTACATATGTATACTTCATTTGTAGTCCATATAACACGCGGACTTTGAACATATAATCAACGACCTCACCAGCAAGGAATCGAACCCTCGACCTACTGGGTGTACCTCGCGTTTCATACCAGCTGGATTCGGTAAAATGCTACTGACACCACATAAGAGGCACGGGCAGTTTCCCAATGAGGTTCACGGCGCCATCAGCTCGATGAACAGGCTTTGTGTGAAATATAACAGAGTCTAGAACTGCTTTTAGTGTCCTTGTGGCCTAGCCGGTAAGCGTTCCCTAGTCACACCCAGTAGGTCGAGGGTTCGATTCCTTGCTGGTGAGGTCGTTGATTATATTTTTTTTTACGGGAATTAGCCCACCTGGGCACAGGTCGAACGACCCACAACGGGGCCTGGGGGGCAAAAAAAATAAGATTAGAAAGAAATAACAAATTAGAAAAAAAAAAGATTACTGAATATTAATCTACACCATGAAGATCCCAGAAAACCAGCTTTTTAAAGTGAGACAGATTGTATGAGTATGGAAACACTGAAGAAGGCAGAGCATTCCACAGTATGGCTGTGTGAGGAAAGAAGGATGCACTATAACGGGTTATTCTAGTGTGACCGACATCCACAGAGATACGGTGGACACCGTGGGCAAGACGTGTGTTACGAGCCCACGGCTTTGCCGACGTTACACAGAATGCCAAATCCACCGAACACTGCCTGTTAAAGTACTGTACCTGTAAAGGAGAGAGAGTGAAGCAACATTGCGGCGAAGAGAAAGGGAAAAAAGATTGTTAACTAAAGGAGGAGAGTTAATAAGACGAAATGCCTTTGATTCCGCCCTGTCTAACAGTTGGACAGAAGAAGAGCCACCCTAGATATGAGGTATTGATATTTGTTGTGAACTCTTGGAACAATTTGCCATAGAATATTGTGACAGTACTTAGTGTGAGCTCATTCAAGATTAGACTTGACCAACACTGGCACAGATACAGATGCATTTTAGAGTTGGTACATTCCCAGTATTTGCCAACAGTGTATAACAGAGAGGTGACTGACTGCCCAAGGGGCTAATCAGTGACAAAGTGGATAAAGTAAAGGCTAATGTAGATGGTTAGGTGTTATTTGTTATTCACAAGTTAGTTACAGTATGTATTACAATCATAACATTATACAGTACCGTGTAACTACAGAAAGTACCTACTTGTAACACCAAACTATAAACTTCTAAATATTCCAAAAATCTTCAATGCATTTAAAAATCTTCCTCTTTCAGGAGAAACTTTTTTATCTTCCTTTTGTGGCACCTGGTCCTTAGACAGTCCTTCTTTAAGGGCCTTTGTTGCCTCCAAATGTAGTGGAAAATGTGTCATTTGTTTAGCAAGCAAAGGTACTATGAAATTATATTTTTCAATTTTCTTATTCATATCTTTTATAAGATCTTGAAGTCGTTCCTGGGATGCCGTCCACATTATCTGTAATGGGAAATGTAAATCACACATAATTACGTCTAAATCAAAATGTATATAAAATAATAAACAATATTAAATAAATTTTTTTCTTAACTATTCAAGGAAAATAAAATATTATGAGAATTTATAATATTACCTCTTCCTCTGGAGTTATTGGCAGGGGCCCCAGCTTTTCACGCTCTTTTCTCAACAACATTTTAAGGCGCGTTCGATCTTCCCTGATATCTTTCTCCAGCATCACCCATTCTGGAGCATATCCATTGTTAATCAGAACCTATAAACAAAAATAACAATACAGTGGTGTATATTTTCCCACGAACTAAAACAATACCTAATAACCACAATCACACTTAACGTTATCACTTTTGGATACAGTCTGTTCATTTTGGTGTTTGGGAAAGGCTGACTACAAACCATTAGCTACCAGACTACCAGTAAAGTGATGTAACAACAGTAGTTTATTTTTATTCAAACACATGAAAATTCCACACAAATCATCCACTATTACTGTACTATATACCAAGCCTCATAAATTTCTATTTTATATGAGTCTTCTTCTATAATCTATCTATGCATAAAATAAATAAAAATCTTCATCAATTTTGTTTTGCCTCCATTTTTCCTCTTTCTATCTCCTTATAATGTATGCCCAAAACTTTATGCCTTATAATGTATGCCAACCACTTTATGCTTTATAATGTATGCCAACCACTTCACCCCTTAAAATGTATGTCAACCACTTTACTTCTTCTATAAATAATATCACTCTTGCATATTCATAAGGTCAATTAAACTCAGAAACTAGTTGAGTAAGACAATAATACTGAATAAGAAGACCAGAAACCTGATTGAGCTTGTGTGTTACAGTATCAACGTATGGATTGTAGTTCTGTTGCTTGAGAGGCTGCCCAGCATTAGAGAGATTATCGAATTCTCCCTTCGCCATGGCCTCTTGTATCATATCATCCACTATGCGATCAATGCCATATCTGGAAAATGTTATTCTGTCATAATTGGTTCACATTCAAATTAGCAGTTCTATGCATTTCCTGATTCTGACAACTCTGCAGCAAAGTACAAAAGGGCTTGAAAATACAGAAATCTCTCGTTAGCCAGAATAATTGGTGCAGAGTAGTTCAGGGTGTGAGAAATTTCTGGGTTTGGAGACATAGTTTTTTCTCCCCAGAAAAAATCACACTTACTGTCCCTGGAATTTTACGGGGTACTGGTGAAAGTTTTTGCGCGTCAGACTCAGAGCGATACAGTCTCTCCTTGACTTACGACGGGGTTCCATCCCGACGACCAGGTCGTAAGTCGAATTGGTTGTAAGTCAAAAAGGCAAAAATAATACATAGAAATTCTAAAATGGGTGTCTCTTTTTCTTCTCAGCACCACGAGAACTCTCACTTTTGCGCTTCCCAGCCATTTTAAACGGAAGTACAAACGAACATTTTGTCAGTACACAGCGCGATCACTAACGTCGGTGCAGTGATCCCTTGGTTAACGAACGCCTCGGTTAACGAATTATCTTCCATAAGAATCTTCAATTCGGTTAATGAAAAAAATTCGGTTAACAAAATTTTTACGAAATCATGTCAACATGTTTTCGCTTGCTCACCAACTGGAATATTAGTCCGCCAATACAGTAATCGGTTCTAGGGCTTAAATTCGTTCCCATTTGAGTAAATATCAAGAAGGTTGTACTATTCAATAATTTTCCAAGTTTTATTTTAAAATTTTTAGTAATTTTAACACTAATTTAACATAATTGCAGTACAGGAAACTAGTTTTTGGTGCGCCCAACAGCCACTTGACTCACCCACAAAGGTGTCAGTTTGTATCTCTGGTCAGTGGAGATAGCATCTGCTTGTGGCTCTCTTGAACATAAACTATTTTTACATTTTTACAGTACAATTATTGGTCATTCTGAAATTTATTTAAAGGGTGATTTCTCTTCCACCCCTACTTCCTTCTCTTCTCCCTTCTCCTCTACCCCCACTTCTAATTCCCATCATCATCATCATCATCATCAACCAGGAGCCTTCTACATACACACCACAAAGTAAGTGTACTTTACTGCATTCATTTTTACTTTGTATGTAATTTTCGGTGAGCTGGAACCAATTACCCAAAATCCCATTGAAACAATGGTTTCGGTTAACGAACGACCTTCTGGAACGAATTATGTTCATTAACCGAGGGACCACTGTACTAGAAAATACGCACAGGGGTAATTTTAAAAATATTTTATGTCTGGGTTGTAAGTCGAGTACCGGTAGTCCCCGACTTACGACTGCTTGGACTAACGTCCATCGGTACTTACGACCTGCTCTGACCTTACGACCATCGGGACATACGACCTTGGCAGTCGTGACCAAAAATATTTTCAAATGACTCGAGCATTTTCTATACCGAAACGTTTCCGTCCCGGGCGAGAGGGAGGGGTGTCTTGGGTCGCCTCGTGGATACACTCACTCAGTGGAGCGCTTAGTTGGTGTTTGGCTATCGTATCGTATACTGATCACGCTGTGAACTTTCGTTATTATCGTATTTAATTGACTTTATAATGACTGGAAAGTGTAAAAGTGAGAGTGCTGGTGGTGCTCCAAAGAAAAGGAGACAGGTAATTACTTTTGAGATGAAAATGAAGATAATAACTCAGCATGAGAATGGAAAAACTGTAGGAACAATCTCAAGTAACCTAGGTTTCTCACACTCGACCATATCCACTATTCCGAAGGACAAGGAACGTATTCGTGATGTAGTGAAAGGAACAACACCTATAAAGGGAACTATAATTTCAAAGAAAAGACAAGGTCCTATTCATGATACGGAAAAATTATTGGTGATATGGATAGACCAGATACAGAAGTGTGTACCCTTAAGCCTTCTAACCATACAGGCTAAAGCAAGAAGCCTGTTCCAAAGCCTGAAGGAGCAGGCAGGAGATGAATGTGATCAAACCTCTACAGGAAGTCATGGGTGGTTTGATAGATTTAAAAAACGCTACAGTCTACACAATGTTAAGGTGAGTGGAGAGGCAGCTAGTGCCGATGTTGGTGCTGCCGAAGCTTTTAAGGAGGAGTTAGATGAAGTGATTGTTGAAGGGAATTATTTGCCTGAGCATATATTCACTGTGGATGAGACTGGATTATTGTGGAAGCGCATGCCTGAGCGGACATACAGTTTCAAAGGAGTTAATGAAAATGGAGTTATTTCAGATATTAGTAACAAGATAGTGGAGTTAGGTAAACAGCTGGAGTTAGAAATTGATAATGAAGATGTTGGACAGTTGGTTGAAAGTGTAGCAGAAGAGCTCAGTAATGAGGATCTTATTGAACTAGATGCACAGAAAGTTGCAGAGGAAGAAGAGAGACAAAATATAGAAGAAGAGCCTGCATCCCCCAAAAAGTTTTCAGTGAAACAAATGGCAGAGGCATTTGCTACAATTAATAAAGGAATGCAAATGTTTGATGGCATGGATCAAAATTATGAGCATTATGCCAAAGTTGACAGAATGATCCAAGATGCACTTGCTTGCTACAGAGAAATTTATAATGAAAAGAAAAAGCAAACTGTGCAGTCTAAATTGGACATCTATTTTAAGAAGTCCCCCAGTGCTGTCTCCTCATGCCCCACCAGTGCTGCCTCTTCACTCCCTCAAGATGATCCATTACCTTCAACCAGCAAGTTTCCACAGTACATAAACCTGTCTGAAGAAAGCGACATTGATGACCCACCCAGCCCTGTCTCCTCTGCTTCATCCAATTAATATAGTCTCCATGTATCCTGTAAATAGAAAATTATGGGGGCCCCGTGTGCATTCAGCTGACTGCATTAAAGGTAAGTGCTCAGTCACACTGTATCCATTCCTCATTATTTATTACTTTTATTGTACTGTATTTCATTGTAGATTTTTTTATTTTATTTATTTTTTTTTAATTTTTGAAAATTTTTTTTTTGAAATTTTATTTATTTTTTATTTTTTTTTATCTATGTCGGACTTACGACCAGTCGGACTTACGACCTGGATTTGGGTCCCTAACCCCATCGTAAGTCGGGGAGCACCTGTATATCGTAAGTTGAGGAGTACAGTACCTGTATTTATTTATGCAAACACTATTGTACACATACAATGCAGTACAGGTATACAGTTATTGTAAATAAACAAAACATCATAGGAGGCGCTCCAATTGATAGTGATGAATCAACCAATGGCGCCCAAGTCAGATTCTTGTTTCAACAGGAAGACCGACTCTTTGACAGAAGGATGACGAATAAACCTTGTATTGGGTAGAGAAAGAGTCGGGCTTCCTGTTGAAACAAGAATCTGACTTGGGCGCCATTGGTTGATTCATCACTATCAATTGGAGCGCCTCCTGTAGTACTAGGAGGCTCTGCCCAGTCAGCCGCTCAGTTGGCCTAGTGAGAGGATACCCACCCATAATCACCCTACTTATTTTCACTTAAGTGGTGCAAAGTGCTATTCCACCCACAATGAAAATTGAACCAGTATACACATACAGTACAGTAGTGTTTAAGTGGAAAATAATATTTTAAGTTGGTGCTGTAACTGCTGACAATACTGTGTATACTGTACAGTAGTGCAGTGAGCTCCCCATCAACTCTGACACCTACCACATGGCACTACAAGCTTGAATTATCCTCATCCTTCACCTGCAGTGTTGGTAAGTGTTAATTTTTGTGCATGTTTTCAGATTATGGTAGGTTATTTTGGCCAAAAACTTGGATATTGGGGTGTGATGAAAGACTGGGACAAAAACGCCTTGAGAACTTGGAATGGTTAGAGCCCCATATATTCCGAGTTATCAAGGGTTTACTGTACTCATCAGCAGATACAGTTGTCTTAAGTTTGTGATGCAGGCAGGCCAAATGGTGAAAAGATGATACAGGATGACCTGCTTCTGTCCTGTACCATTTCCTGTAGCAGGTGTTGCTGATGGTCTCTTTCCTATCCTCCTATGAAGGAGGAATTGTACAGTGTACACACACTGTATATTGTACATGCACCCTCTATACACTAGCCTACAGTAGGCATACACTGTCCACTCTGCTATGTACAGTACTATACTGTACTGTACATACAGTACTGAATATACAGTATAGTAAACGTAACTGTAATTACTTTTTACGTCTTAACGCTGCTTTAATGGTATTCTTAGCTGCACAACACAACCTGTATGTGAAAATAGCAGTGAGTGAGCAAACATACTTGTACAATGACAGCAGACAATGAACTAAGTGTGTCATGATACTAGACTTTGAAGAGATAGGCTGTAAGATACATCAGTCAATCATAGGCATTTCATATAGTCACATGACAATAGTAGCCAATCATAGCTCGCAAGCACTCTGAGCCTACCCACCCACGTGCTCGGCATGCATCCTCACATCGGAACATCTGTCAAAAATTTGTTTGAAGGCCTGAAACAGAATAATTTTCTCAGAATTTCCGGGAAACGCGTTGATCCAATCCCTTGAAAATTCTTCAAATAACCAGAATGGAGAAATTTTCCCCGTAATTTTTGGGAACTCTCAAAAAGTTTTTTTTCCAGGTAATGGAGAGTTTGGGACCAAGAAGCTTCCATAAATGGATAATTATGTAAAGTGGACACCTATCATGAACATGTGTCCAAGGTAACCAAGTGTACTGTAATAACAAAAGTACTTGTGTCAGTTTGGTTATACTGTACAGTATTATTAGTTTCTGCATACAATAAAACCCTCATAATTTGAAATAATATAGGCTCTACCACTCTAGCCCTTATGAATTATGAGATTTTATGAGATATGAAGAACACCTCTTGAGGGAGGAAAAATGGTACTTTCACATTATCTGCCCCTAATCAAAATTTCAACATTTCTAGGTACAGTACAGTACAGGGCCGGATTAAGCTTAATAGGGGGCCTGAGGCACAGATCAACTTGGGGCCCCCTACCCTCAAGGTATATATAAATAACAAGAACA